GAATGCAGATGTCCTCACCGGATACAGTGACTCAGACTGGGCACGAGATATTGACGACTGCCGGTCAATTTCAGGATACATCTTCACCCTTGGCGATCGCGTCATATCATGGAATAGCAAGAAACAAACCACCGTCGCAGCCTCGTCAACTGAGGGAGAGTACATGGCCCTCTCACATGCATCCAAACAGGCAATATGGCTGGGATATCTGTTGCGTGATATCGGAATGTATGACAAAGATCCTGGCACAGAGATATTCGTCGATAACACTGGATGCATTAGCCTTGCGAAGGAAGCGCGTTTCCACGCATGCACGAAACACATTGACGTTCATTACCATTTCAGTCCGCGAACACGTCGAAGATGGTACTCTCGAGCTCATACATATCCCATCAGCCGAAATGCTCGCCGACGGCCTCATGAAACCACTCGCACGTCTCGCGTTCCAGAAAATGATTGACGAGATAGGTCTGTTGCCAGATTGAGGGGGTGTGTTGGAAATCAATCCGTCAACATAGTAGTATAGATATTTCTTTTTGTTTGGTGTCGCGTTCACTACCTTCAACGTACTTACTAAATACGGTAACTCCGCTCCAGGTACATTCGCTCGTCTCGTTTTCCCCTTCTTCCCCAGTCTGTTCATACTCGACTGGGGTAAGTCTCACTATATGATACTCACATTCCTTACTGACGTAGTACAGGACTTACGAAGTCCTTGTCTCTTTAGGTACATACTATATCAGTCTGTTCATACTCGACTGGGGACTTACGAAGTCCTTGTCTCTTTAGACGTGTGACGTCTCTTAATGACTGTATCCTGTGATGCTACGACATGGCACGAGCGAGGAGGACGAGCTGGAGAACGGCAGTATTAAATTTTCGGCGACTCTAGTAGTGATGATCATGAATACATGACATGCAGTGACACCTGAGACATAGCCAAATTACTAACAGTCCGCGACAGATGTGACTGCTCAAATTGGGAGACGTAATCAACTTTACATTCATAGATAACCTCGAATATGCCATTTGTCCATGGAATTGTTCTGTATCTCGATCTCAGGTGTGCACGCATGATCATGAGGGGATGTAAGTGCTCACTGCTAGATCTGAATGGCCAAGCGTATATATTAACTCCGCGACAAGCCCTCCGATCTGCTTTTATTGTGGTCTGTTACTATGAACTGGCGCGGCCACTTGAACTGTATCATGATTCATATCATTATACGAGTTTGTTACCAAATCGCCAAAGGATGGTCCGAGGAATAAGAAGGGCAGAGGAAGCCAGGTATGCGGCTATAATAACACCTCTATAGCTCAACTGACTTGTGAAAGCAGCAGCATATGGCTCGCGATCGAGTGACACCATTATGATGACGCGGCCATGGCTGCCCATTAACTCAGATGTTGCTGCATTTGATCTTTGCTCGAATGAGTCATTTTGCAGAATCCTTTCACAAGAAATCGCAACGGGAGTCGAGCTAGAAATACAAATTTGTACAATATGAATCGAGTCAGCGAAAACATGTGGAAGCAAATGTTATATGAGTGACGATACTACTGGATTCGGGGCTCGGACAATACACTTGTTACTACTGAATCCGATTTTGGGACACCCCCTCGGAATGAAGTTGTTCTCGTAACACCAGAATGCAATCATGGCACAGGTAGTGTGTCAGAGAAACTCTTTATATGCAGAGCATATGATATATTCCAAGGCCATCCCCTAAGCCTATCGGAGGGATATGCAGTGGCTGCGGAGAAGCACGCGTCGTGAAAAGCATGACGAGGGCTGCACCACCGAATCGTAGCGGCGCGCGCGCCAATCCTGAGTTCCAACCGTCTTATCAGAAGGAAACAGCCTCGTCCAGCTATCTCTGCGAACCTCTTGTTTCTGGCGGAATCACTTATCGCGTCCTGGGCACTACAACCACGGCATAAAGTACATTTGGAGAAGGCAAATATTGGGGCACGGCGTTCAAAGAACACATCTAATCTTCCGTCACCTGCATCGCTTGGGTATCGAACTCATTACCATCGTTTTCATGTTCGCTGTCGTCCGCAAAGTCTTCATCGTCGGAGAACTCGGTGTGACGGGGCGTGCCGGTGGGACGTTCCAGAGGGCTCAATCAGGCAGGAGCAGGCAGAGTAGCGGAGTGCTGGAGTTAGGAGCAAGGCGAGAGGTGGCAGAGGCCCGGCGGTGTCCGGGGTCATAGCAGTAGACATACGACTCAGCGCATGTAGTAGACATCATCATGATCCACGCAGACACGACAGTCAGGTTCTCTTCCGTCTCTTGAGCGCAGTGCTGGCCGATCCATCGGTCGCCTGGCAATTCTTGCGTGGCTGTTCCTTATGGAGATCATCGCTGGCCTTGCGTTTCCCCTTGGAACCCCCCACGCAGTTGGTGAGTGTGTTAGCCGTGATAGAGGCATCGGGAAGGAGTTTCATTTCTTTAAGCATCACCTGACAGCCGTCCGGCAGGCAGCTTTGGGGCGTACTAGAGCCAGTGCAATAGACTGCAAGTGGGGGGGCAGACTCTGCAAACTGTTGTCTCGACGCCGCTGAGAATGCAGCAGTAGGCAACAAATCATTACGAGCTGCAGAAAATCGACGAAAGACACTGCGATGAGTATAAGCTTCAGATTCAAAGTGCGACCGTCGAAAAGTCTGATGGAGACCATCCACGCCAACGGACAAAGACATACCATCGAACATGACCATCACGTGGGGATGGAGATAATCATATCGCGCACACCTGACGCAGTTAAATGCCAAAGAGTCCAGTAACACTAACCACGAACACAAGTTGGAGGTGGAGGCATATACAGCAGCGTGAAACTGCGGAAAATACAAGGCATCATAACAAACGGGATATGTTGCGACATCATGGACGGTGGAGTGGGGTGGACAATCATCAAAATCAAGTACGCATGCCACAACAGACGCTTACTGTACTATTTGGTGAAAAAGACAGCCATACTGAGAAGTCAGCAGTACAAAATAAGAAGCGCAAAGGAGGACACAATGCCAAGTCCTCACTCAGCTGAAAACGGCAATGATACTGTAAACTTGAGAAGCTGTATGGCTTTCATCTGCATGGACAAGTAAAATGCAACGCTCACGAGGTGTATGGCTGGGTATCAAATAGTCCGTAAAGCCCACTACTTCAAGAAGAGAAATTGAAGTAACTAGTTTAGTAGATGACCTCATGATTGATGCGAGGTGGGACGACGGCGACCGGAGAAAGATCCGCGGCAGCTCACTCCTTCATAAGAAACATCTCCCGTCCCACCACCTGCGCCTTGCGTGCCCGTCGGTCGTGCTTGAGACACTTGTGTTACCGGCGCAGCCTGAGATTGACCTGCTTGGGTCGAACTACTGGCCTCGTTGCCATCGGTACGAGGCACAGCTCCAGCCGCTTCTGCACGGGCCACTTCTGTTGCAGTGGGAGGGGAAACGAATTCTCTGCAAATAATTTCCATGATATCAAAAAGAGTGATTGCGAGCCACTTGCATTTTTCTTGCGACCGGCGGCTACTTCAATGGCGCGTGTAAAGCTTCTTCCTGAAAATGAGTTGAAATTCCAACGCCGGGGCTCGAGCGGTATTGATTTGACGCGCAATTTGAAGGTTGAGCACTGAGACGCAGCAAGTCGAGAAAATTACGCCAACGAAGGGCAGACAATGGGCTCGCAGGAGCCGCGGGACGAGGCGTGGGGTTGTCGTCAGCGTCCCAGAAGTCATTGCACTATACAAATTTTAGATTTGCAAGAGCTAGGAAACGAAATATTATACTGACATATTCCGACATGCCTCCGAGTCTGTCGTTGGGCTGCTGCTTCAAGACCTGACTAGCATGCAAGATCTAACGAGGCGAGTGAGCAAATGATTAGGGTATTTACAACTGATTAGCGCACGGCATGTCTTGGTCAAACTGGACGTCCCTGGTAAAGGAGTAGGATACCATAAGAAACACAGAAGACTTGCCTTAAGCTTTGCATCGGGTTTTACACTGCTCTCATCCACACTCTGAACGACAGCCAAAACACGCTTAGAAAAGACACTGACAGTGAATAAATACACTTGCATGATGATCGCCTGTATGCTTCAGAGCTGCCTCCAGGCTCCACACATAGATCTTTGCATCTGATCCACCACCGATGCATATATTTTCCATTAGGGGAAATGACAACAATGAAAATTTTGTCGTCATGTAAGAGGGGGTTTCCGACTGGCTGATTGGTCTTGAGGTCCCAGATGCGACCTGAGTAGTCCGCTGCCGCGCTAACAAGATGGCTTTCATCAGGGGAAAGACAGGGGGGGGCGACGATATTAGCATGTCCCTGGAAAACAACGAGCTCCTTCCCATGAATCGACCGCCATTTTCAGATGGTGTGATCATCCGACGTGGAAACAGTGTGTGTCCACTGTCATCCTTGGATTAACACTGGAGTAGGGGACCCCTAGGCAGAGGGTGAGAGTAGAGGAGCATTTGGCGGTGTTTGAGCCGGGTTTAGCTGAGGAGAGAGTCGTAGAGCCTTCGGATGCAGTAGCAGGCTTCAGGTCTTCGTTGTCCTTCGATAGCAGAGTCTTCGGGCATAGCCCACTCCAACTGGTAAACAGAGCAAGTTCGCCTCAACCAAAGCTTCGCATTTGGTCTTCCCCATAGAGCCCAGAGCCCAGAGCTTAGAGCATAGAGTTTTAGAGCCCAGAGTCCAGATGCAGAAACCAGAAGCCTCGTGGAATACACGAGCAAACGACCTAACTAGTCAAGCGCAAAAAAGTCAAGAAACACGAGGAGAACACGTTACAAAGCATAGCATCCTCGTTTGTGAACCAAGAAACAATACTGACGATAAACAAGTCCCTTTAGCCAAGCTGCCTAAGAGAAAGAATTTACCTCTCAGAGGACCAGGAGGCAGATTCCTGCACAAGTCCCTTTTGGACACCAAAAACTCTAGTAGCACATTCACCTTGACTGCTTCATTGCCTCTTGACATGCCAGAGACCAATGAATGGCAACTTATGCCAGACAAGGAAGAATCGGAAGATTGTGAGGTCCTGGATCACGAAGTTAGTGAGGATTTAAGAGAAGATGATGAAGAGTCGTTATCTGGCACACCAAAGTCTAATGCAATACTCCTCCCAGCTTTCCAGTGGGATACAGGTGTCCCACCAGCCATCCCTAGAGAGCCAAACATCCAAACTGTCCCATCAGCGCAGCCAACAGTTGCACCAACAAAGTCTAATATAAAACCTACCATTATACCAAAACAGATACAGACAACCAAAGCTACAATGTCAATGACATCAGCCAACTCCCCACCATTGTTCCACGGATGTGACAATGAAAACTCAGCTAACTTTGTATGAAGTCTTGAAGCATACATCGTGGTCAATCATATCTCAGACGAAGTGATAATGATCTTACTGCTTGGCACATTCATATCAGCAGGTTCAGACGTGGACATATGGTGGACGGGCCTAGGAACACCACAGAAAGCCACATGGATGCAAGCCAAAGCAGCATTCCTGGCAAAGTGGCCAGCGATAGTCGTTGCAGGAAAGATGCAAAGGGAGCACCAGAAAGACTTACTGGAGTTGTGGTTCAAAGAGGAAGAAGTCAGAGAATGAGTCATGGTAGCAGGCATCGCAACATGGGCGCATATCCAGTTCCACAACAAGTTAAAGACACTGGTAAAGGATGCAGTAGAACACATACCCATTCTAATTCAACCAGTCCAGGAGGCACTCTTGCGAGCTCTTAGAGACCTAACATCAGCAGTGCCCGCAGACTGGGATGCCTTCCTAAACGAAATCAAAAGTGTCAATATCAATACCTTACAAGAAAAGGCAAAGAGAGTCAAGGAGAGGAAGGAGGTGGAAAGAGCTCAGAACACACGCATCACACAGCTGGAAAGTCAACAAGACCCTATCGAGGTGTTACGTCTACAGATGCAACAAACAACAATTGGATCTAACACACTAACACCAAAAGCAACAATGCCTTCAAGAACTATAGGAAACACACCTTCCAGTGTCATGACACCATGAAGAGCAGTACGCTACGTCACAGCCAACCAACCAACAACCAATCAGTATCCCAGAGGACAACCACCCACACAAGAAGAGAAAGACACACTACGCACGTATGTCAACGAGCTGCAGCACCATGCAGATATGGATACAGGACATACAGCATATGGAGAGCAGTTAAGGCAGTGGTCAGTAAAATGGGGAGAAAGAGCAAGGTGCACAGAGAAAACACCATACCTGCTAACCCCGGGAACAGTGCAAATATGCTCTGGTGAATGCTTTAGATGCGGCGCACACAGACACATCAGGCCAAGATGCCCTATCCCAGCAGATGCTCAACTCCCGAAGAATGAGAGCATATGGCACAGCAACTGCACACAAATTCTTGGCACGTTCAACAGAGCCACAGCCCCCCAAGTCAATCTTGTGATGGAAGAGACTCTGGAGCAGGGAAATGGGAACAGGTCGTTGGCATAGAGGATAGCCAAACAACCCGAGAACAATTAGCACCTCATCCGTCTGGACAACCAGTCCTCATGTGTGAGGAGGAGACACATGAGGACCGACATACCTTTCCCATCGAACACATTCATCTTACAAACCATGTTGTTATGCAGCCTGCTAGTGAACAATGCGATGTTATTGATTTGTATTCGACGAATAAGGAAGGAACGCACTGGAACTGCCAACCCTTTTTGCACTACATTGCATTTGCAGGACCAAAAGGAAAGATTGTACGAGTCAAAGCGCTCTTCAACAAAGGCGCAATGATTAGTGCAATGTGCATGACGGTCTTCAACAGCGTCAAGCACCGCCTAGGGAACTGGAAGGTGTCAGTAAAGAAACTAAGAATGGCCAATGGTGCACTGGTCCCATCAAAGGGAACGTGGAAAGGTGAAGTCACAATAGCAGGAGTTGAAGCACAAGGAGAGTTCGAAGTCTTCGATAGTGGAGGAGGATGGAAGTTCTTGCTTGGGAAACCAATGCTACAGGCATTTAAAGCTATACATGAGTACGAAACTGACACAGTCCTTATAACAGGAAATGGGATCTCAATGACCATCAGCAATCAGAATGAAGTTCAAGAGACTATGACAAAGCAAGACACCAATGGAACCACCAAGCAATGACAACAAAGCATCACATGACAACACTCCAGCAAACTTCCTCAATGATGCAGACGCTTTCACAAGAACCATGGATCCTGGAAATCCAAAAAGAGTGGAGTACATAGTGAAGTCAGTACAAATCAGAGACAACCTTAGTCCCGAGGAATGAGAAAAAGTTAAGGAACTCATCTCCCAATACGCTGACATCTTCGCATGTTCATTGTCAGAAGTATTGCTAGTTCCAGGAGCAGAACATCAACTTAACATACCTCAAGACGCCACGTTTCGCACCCGAGTCCATCAAAAAGCACTAACACCACCCCAGACCCAATTTCTACATAGCAAGATCAATGAGATGCTAATGGCAGGTATTATAGAGAAAGCACCCCCAGAAGTGGTCAAGTGCTATGCCACAACAGTTCTTGCCCAAAAAGCTCATGAACAAGGCGGATTGACACTCGAGGAGCTGCAACACCAGGTTAATGAACAATGTAAGCAGCACAGGAAGCCACCGGCATTTACATTACCAGAATGGGATATTGAAACAGAAGAACCACCAAAGCCACCACCAGCCCCACAGAAATGGCGCATATGTCAGAATTTCAATGAGGTAAATAAGCACACAGTGATCACACCGATGCCCCAAGGAGACATAAGAACAAAGCAACAGTGCCTAAGTGGACATAGGTACTTCTCAGTGTTTGATTTCACCTCAGGATTCTATGCTGTTGAAATACTGCAGGAATCAAGGCCATACACAGCATCTTACATCGAAGGAAGGGGGTATTTTTGGTATAAAAGGATGCCAATGGGCCTCACAGGAGCACCATCTATGTTTTGTGAAATGACGGCTAACCATTTACATGACTTACTAGCAAGCAGCATAATGGAACTCTTCATAGACGATGGAGGATGCGCAGATAACACGTTTGACGGGATGCTGAGAAAACTAGAACAGATCTTTCAGAGATGCTGAGAATGCAAACTATCATTATCCCCAACAAAATGTCACCTATTCATGATGGAAACTACATTCACAGGAGCTACTGTAGGACCAAAAGGAGTTCAACCAGACTTAGAGAAGCTTACCGCTATCATTAACTGGAAACAACCCACTGATGTGCTTAATTTAGAATCCTTCCTAGGACTGACAAGTCACTTCCAAGACCTAATACAAGTGTACACCCGACGGGAAGGACCATTAAGAGACCTAGTCAAAGCAGCACCACTCAAGATACCATACTCAAAGAGCACTTATCAACGCACCTTACAGGACTTCAAGCTTGATGAACACTGGACAGAAGCACACACAACAGCATTCCTAGACTTAAAGGCAGCTTTAGTAGCAAGGCCCATATTGCAAGCACCGAAATACAACGGATCAAATTTTGTAGTCACATCGGATGGATGCCAGGAAGGATTCACAGCCATACTAAGCCAACAAGTATGGCTACAGAAGCCATCAGGCAAATGGACAGAACGCCTACTTCCCATTGGCTTCGCATCCAAATGCACATCAAGAGCAGAACAGAAATACAAACCATTTATCCTCGAGTTCGCAGCGTTGAAGTTCAGACTTGACAAGTTCACAGATATCATCTGGGGATTCCCCACAGAGATAGAAATGGATTGCCAGGCCCTACAAGACATCTTGATGAGCAAACAGCTCAATGCAGCACACGCAAGGTGGAGAGACAGAATCATAGCACACAGGATCGTAGATGTATGCCACGTTCCAGGCAAGCTAAACGTCATCACAGATGGACTCAGCCGACAGTGGGAAGGCCAACCAAGAGACACAGGGCTAAATGACAGAAGTGAATGGATGGTTAGTGAAGATTGGGAAGCAAATTCAGGACTAACCAATGACATTCTACTCACCGAGCCAACAACACAGCAAAAAACGGTAAGTCCATTACAAGAACAATTCACTAACAAGCCAGTTTTTCTAGAAGTAGTGGAATCAATATTAGAAATGGACAAGACAAGACCCTTATGCGACCAGAAACAGGCAAGACACCGAGCATCACAATATCTGATAGAGGAGGGTAAGTTATGGTGTTTATGAGGAGGAACAGCAGTACAAGCTCGCAGCAAGGTAGAGTGTGTCACTAAAGAAGAAGCAAAGCAATTAGTGAAGGAACAGCACAAAAACAAAGGACATTGGGGAAGAGACGCTATCAAGATTGCATTAACTGACCAAATTTACAGTGCAGGACTTGATGCATCAATTCTAGAAGCAATAGGAAACTGTGCTAAGTGTAAAAATTTCAGAACACAACACTTGCACTCACTCTTGGAACCGATCACCCACAGACACCCATTCGAATTGCTAGTCAGCGACTACCTGATCCTCCCGAAAGGAAGAGGATACCACACCCTAGGTGTCTACCTCAATACCTTCTCACAACATGTCTGGGTCTTCAAATACAAATCAGCAGGGACAGCACGCACAATGATTGACAGCTTATCCAAAATATTCTACAACTTCACATCTTTGGAGACCTTCATGAGCGATGGAGGAAAACACTTCAATAACGAAGAAGTCCAAAACTATTGCACTAAGTGGTCCTGCAAAACTCATATTGTAGCGGCATACTCACCATGGGTCAATGGGCTGGTAGAAGGCACAAATAAGATTCTGCTACACATACTCAAGAGATTGTGCACACCAAATCTCAGCAAAGACAACTATGAAGCAATCTCATGGGACAAGCTACTGAAAACGTGGCCAAACCATCTAGAAGAAGCAGTAGTAGCATTGAACCACCGTATACTACCAGCACTGAAGTTTTCGCCAAAGGAGTTATTACTAGGCCAAGTAATCAACACCCCACAAACCGATCTAGCTAACTGCACTTCAGCACTACGGCTGTCAGACACCAACGTTCACATGGCATACATCGCACAACAGCGCCTCAATGGCTACAAGGCTATAGTCCAACACGCCATAAAAAGGAAAGCTGCATTTGATAAAAGAGTACTAGCCTGCTCACCAAGGGAAGTCATATTTGAAGCAGGACAGCTCATTCAATTCTTTTATAGCAATCAGCATAACATGCTTGAAGCAAAATGCAAAGTGATACCAAAATGGTCCCCCCCACACCACATAACAGAACAGATACAGAACTCATATCACATAGAAACAATTAACAGCAAGCCATTATCAGGTGAATTCCATGCACAACGTCTAAGAGCCTTCCACCCAAGGGAAGGCACCAAGCTAGCAGAAGAACAGAAAAGAAGAGAGTCAGGGCAACAGAACAAAGAAAACATAAACATAAATGAAGAAAGTCAAGACCAGTGTGCAGACAAAGAACAAGACGAAGAAGATACAGAAACAACAGAAGAAGACAAAGAGAGTGAAGAAGTGAAGGGGAAGAGTAAAAAGCAGAGACATTGAAGATGAAGCAGAAGTGATAGCAATGAGGGCATCGCTGTTTTCAAAGGGGGGCACATGGAGTAGGGGACCCCTAGGCAGAGGGTGAGAGTAGAGGAGCATTTGGTGGTGTTTGAGCTGGGTTTAGCCAAGGAGAGAGTCATAGAGCCTTCAGATGCAGTAGCAGGCTTCAGGTCTTCATTGTCCTTTGATAGCAGAGTCTTCAGGCATAGCCCACTCCAACACAACAATGTTACCACACCACCATGGCCTTCAATCTCCAAGAGCAGCTTGCTGTCCTTTGACCACATGCAGATCACCTTGTCCTTCCCACTGCTCGTGAATTTATCTCGCTGTGGAGAGTAGCTGACAACCCAAACCCTCCCTAGGCCTCATGGTGACAGAGAGATGATAGTATATGAGAAGACGCAGAAATCAGAAGAAGAGCTTGTCAATGCGTATTAGCTAGTATATAGCCATACGTCTTTTGGCTTGAACAAGGTAATTTCGTTTGGAAAACGAAGGGAAGTGCACAGGAAGACGGCGGAGCTCGATTACATAAAAGTCTTATGATCATAAACTTCTTTCGATACGATTTCGAACAATATATGCCAGTTTCGTAATGTCCACTTCTCTGCTCGTTCCCCTACATGTTGCATATATCAGAGCTCTTGGAGATGTTGGTTTTTCGACTCTTACTCAATGAACTGATCTCTAAGCCTTCAAGCAGAGCAAAGATGAACTGTCCTATCACCTCTCGGCTCACCTAAGGATGAACGCGGTGTACTGGGGCTTGAGTGCTCTTTTCGTCATGGGACACAAGGATGCGTTGGACCGTGATGAGATGGTAGATTTCGTTATGAGCTGCTGGGATGAAGAGGCAGGTTTGTTCCCATCAAGAGATCCATGGCATCTCGAGCTCACATTCCGCAGGCGCTTTTGGCGCTCATCCTGATCACGACGCACACCTGCTTTCTACTCTCAGCGCAGTACAAATTTTGTTGATGCAGAATGCGCTCAATAGAGTCGATGTCGACCGTGTTGTGAAATGTGCCTTGTTTATCTTTTATTGAATGGTTTGATATCACTGACATGGCACAGTCATCTTATCTTTGCAGCAGCCTTCTGGAGTTTTTGCGGGCGACGCCTTTGGCGAAACTGATACACGTTTTTTGTATTGTGCGGTCAATGCTCTCTCACTTCTCGGAAAACTTCATGAGTTGGACATCGAGAAAACGGTCGCATATATCAGGCGTTGCAGGAATTTTGATGGTGGATTTGGAGCTGTTGCGGGTGCAGAAAGTCATGCTGCACAAGGTGAGCATTCCAACACACACATAACTTCGGAATGCTGGAGCGCCATAGTATTTGTTTGCGTTGCGGCACTTGCTATTCTGGACAGATTGGATGAGGTCGATCAGCCGACCCTGTGTTGGTGGTTATCAGAGCGACAACTACCGAATGGAGGGCTTAACGGGCGCCCTGAGAAGCTGGAAGATGTGAGTGTTTGTACACATGACTGCTCTGCAGTGTTCCTGATTCTCTGTTTACAGGTTTGCTACAGCTTCTGGGTGCTATCCGCCCTTTCTATCCTTGGCAAGCTCTCATGGATAGACTCTAGTAAACTGGAGGCCTTCATTCT